CAGTAGAATAGGGAATGAAAAAGTTTACTAATAGTTACTTTCGCAGTTGATTGATTATGTTAAGAACTGCAAGGATTTTTAGTTATTACCTGCTTTCTAAAATTGTATGTTTTTATGACAGTAAAGATGCTTTTTTTGAGGAATGAAATGGGTATATTTATGTAGTTTGAAGTCTGATGTTTGAGAAAATATAAGAGGTCATTAACTTTATAATTTTTTTCACTGTTGTTGTTTTTACTTTGACTGAATTGTAAAAGATCCAATGGTTTGACATAACAAAAATGAAGAAAAGCAACTTATAATGATATACAAATGGTGTGAGATTTTATTTTACTTTTTGAACACTCATCTTAAAATGCTATTTATGTTAAATGAAATAATGATTTCTAATTTTTTTGCCATGACTTGTCAGACTTTTTCAATAAATAGGGATGCCAAAGGACAGCAAACCTATGACTGACAAAACGATTCAAAGATGATCCCATGATTCCTTGGATTTACTAAACAATATATTTGGGCTTAAATTAAACAATTAAATTACTGAAATTATTTTTTTTTGTTTAAATTCAACCCATATAAATTGCTTGCAACAATTTTTTTCAGTGTCATTTTATAGTGGTTCCAAAAAAGTTATAATAAGTTAAAAAAAAAAAAAAAAAAAAAAAAAAAAAAAATATATATATATATATATATATATATATATATATATATATATATATATATATATATATATATATATATATATATATATATATATATATATATATATATATATACACACACACACACATAAAAAAGTCAGAGGCAAAAACTGAAGAGGTGCACATCATTGGCCTCAGATGGGACTTCAATCCTTCAATTTTAATTTGTTGAAAATTACAAATTTGCACTGAAAATGTTTACTCAACTTTAAGGTAAGTGGTTGCAAGCCATTTATACACATTTAAAAAGTTGAAACAACACAATTCTTAAGTTTTTTTGGTGTGGGGCAATTTAATTGTTTTATTTTCAAAACAATTACGCTAACTTTATAGATTTGAGTTGGAACAACATGAAGGAATTGTGTGGAACCCAACTGTAATAGTGTATAGGCTGAATATAAACAAACAAATTAAGCTGAACTTAGTAAATTTATTTGGGCTGAATTTTGACAAATTATGTTGAACTTAATTCATATGGTCTTTTAGTTATTTTAATGCAAAAGAATATGTTAACTCATTAAATTTAAGTTTTAGTAAATTACTTTATTCTGGTTATTAATGACAATTTGCATTACTGGTATTATTATTAGCAGTATTATTTATAATATGCATATTTATATATGTTTGAATAAGAACAACACTGAAAAAAATGCTGTCTGCAAAATTGTTGCAAACAATCTATTTGTGTTGAATTTAAACAAACAAATTAAATTAAGTAATGTTCAACTTAATTTATTTGTTTAAATTCAACATAAACAAATTGTTTACAACCCCTTAATTTAAAAAAAATTAAGTAAATTCAAGGAATCATCCTTTAATAATTTTTTTCAGTGAAGTTTAGATTTGTCCACCTGTTTTGGAGACATCTGCATCACCATATGTGGCATATAATAGGACGTGTGTTTGGTTTTAACTCACTGGTTATAACATTTTTGACCACACTTCATGGGGCTTCAGTCCTTCAACTAAATACGTTTTAGCTAGTTGCAGATTAAAAATGAGCATATCACTGAAAATGTTCACTCAATTTTTTAAGGTAAGTGGTTGCAAGCCCTTTATACACTCAAAAAATGACCTTTGCTGCACTGTAAAAAATTATATGATCAATTAGCCCTGACAGCATGTTTTTAGGTCATTGTTACTTATTCAATTATTGATTAGTCAATCATGTTCTAACTTAATTTTATAAGTTACGCAAGCTGTTTTAAGTCAGTTTAACATAACATAAGTTCAATGGACTCATAAGGTTAATTTGCTTCAGCTGTGCTTGTTCAAACTACTTATTTAAAATGAGTTGAAACAACACAATTCTTACAGTTCTTACTTTTAAAAGAACAAATTGAGTTGACCTTACTGAATTTAAATGAACTGAATTTAAGCTTACAACTTAAGTTGAGCTAACTGTATATGGTTTTATTTAGTTATCGTAATGCAGAAGAACGCAGAATGTTCACCCTAGTTTAATTTTTTACTAACTTGCTTGATTTATCATTTATTTTTATTTTATGTTAAAATTGTTCATAAGCTGCTTACTAATACGCTTGACTTGTGTAACTTCGTGTAAACTGACTTTGGCATTAAATATATAAAACACATTCAATAACAGTTAGTGTATTTGTTATAGTGTCATACCAGAGGACATGGGTTTCAGTGCCGATTTGTTTCCGTACATTAAGTCCCGCATAATGTGCATTTTAGCATTTTTAATGCATTATTTAGCATTACATAAATTAACATAACCTAAGATTAATAAATGCCTTTGTAGTAGTCATTAAATTGACGTTTGTGAACATGTTAAAGTTTGAAAATAAATCACTTATTAAGTCTTGCAAATACAGCAATCGGTATATTCCCAAAAACCACTGCAAAAGTTTCAATTATAAATAATTATTCACTGTATTTGACGTTCTTGATGAATCAATATTGTGCATGTTTTAATATCACGATATATATTGAATTATGGAATATCTACGTATGTTTTATAACAAAAAATTGACAGGTGCATGTATAAAGTGTTTTAGCCAGCAGTGTCTAATCTGTCATCTATTGGATAAATATTTAAACATGTCGTTGTTCGATTGCTTGTGTACCCGTGAGCAAACAGACCTGTAGAGGAGTGTTGACAAGCATTAGTTTGTTGTTTGCTGAACGGTTGAGTTTCAGTGACAGTTTCCTGGTTCACAAGTTAACTCAGTCAACATCAGCGTCTAGTCAACAGTCTCCTCGAGAAACGCAGAAGAAAAGATTCATAACAAAACCATTGCGAAAGGTGTGACTCGCGTTACACACTTCTGGCACACGTCATTGTTTTCATTCTGTTCTTGGCAGAAAATCAGGTTCTATTTCGGGAAAGGGAGTTTTGTTTGCGTTCGAGCAGTTTCAGTGTTATGGATGGGACATTTGCAGTAAAATCAAAACATAAATTCAGAGAGAAAGTAACACCATATTAATACATGTGTTTATATTTTCCAAAACAACTCACATTTATAGAATCATAAAAACATCAATCTGTAAAAAAAATTTAGATTGTAATTGAAGGATATAAACATGCATTATGGGGAAACAAGTGTTCGAGTTTACAGTATACAGCATACTTTGTAGAAATTCTGTGAATTAAACTGTTCAATCCAAAAGAAAAAAAACTGTGCTAATCAAAGAGATGAGAGTTGGCTCACTCATTCATTCATTAATTTTCTTGTCGGCTTAGTCCCTTTATTAATCTGGGGTCGCCACAGCGGAATGAACCGCCAACTTATCCAGCTACAACCCATCTCTGGGAAGCATTCACAAACACTCATTCACACACATTCATACACTACGGACAATTTAGCCTACCCAATTCACCTGCAGCATGTCTTTGGACTGTGGGGGAAACCAGAGCACCTGGAGGAAACCCACACGAACGCAGGGAGAACATGCAAACTCCACACAGAAACGACAACTGGAGTTGGCTCACTATAGAGCAAAAAAACATTGATTTTATTTCACATTTTTGCATTTATGAGGAAAAAGCTTTGTTACGGATGTGACACCTCTCTGTTAGTTGTGTAAGAGATCACAAATCTCATGGTTTGTATCACATTATTTGGTCACGGATCAGACCATTTTTCAGAAAAATCAGCCAAAAAGAGGAGACAAATATAATTTGCTTTCGATTCATTACAAAACAGCAAAATTGGGTGCTGCTGAAGAGCGGTGTTATCGCACGCGTACTGATCAGCTGTGTTGTCGCGCGCGTACTCAAGAGCGGTGTTGTCGCGCGCCTACTGAAGGGCGGGACCGAAGGTGTGCCGCGTCGCGGGGGCACTTTTGATCATTTTGGAAGGGCACTTTCTATCCAAGACTAAAAAGGGCATGTGCACTGCACAGGTTGAGCCCTATGTGTGCACGTGCCTGGTTGCAAGTAACAGGTTATACAGTTGTAAATAATATTGAGTTTGTGGCACAGAGTGATCGTTTGGGAACCGTGCGGGAAGTATTAACAGTACTTAGCAGTCAAAATGAAACCGAAAGTGTGCACTTCATTTAAATGATCATATCGCATTTTAGAGTTATGATTACGACAAGCATTTGAAATGTTTTTTTTTCTTTCATAGTGAACCCACAGTTGTGCATGAAAATAAATGTTTACAGTGTCAGTATAACTACTGTAGCCTATATAATGTTGAATATATTCTGATAATGGAAAATGTCTGATTTTACCAGTGAATAAATTTGTCTAATATGACAGATTGCAAGCATATATCTCAAAGATAATAATTCAACATCCGAATTATTATAAGTAGAATAGAATTATTTATAGAAACCAGTAGACCTACACATAATATTATTATCGAGGTTGTGCCATATGTTTGTTTTTACCTTACCTTTATTTTACATCTACAGAATCGTGAGAGAACCGTGATCTTTATTTTAAGCAAAAAAATCGCGATTCTCATTTTAGCCAGAATCGTCCTGCTCTAAAAGTCAATTTTCCAAACTTTTTAACTTCAAAAGCTTTTGGAGGAAAGATTAAGATCCCATAATACCATTTAAAAAGCATAAATAAGTGGAATAAAAAGGATAAATCACAAAATATGGGCAACTGTCAATTTACAAATATTTTGTACAGTGTAGTAGGTCTGCATGATACTGAAAAAATATGCGATGTTGTTGAGCATTGCGATAACTAACAAAATACTTAATGTATAAAACTAAAACTAAACTGAAATATACAGCCAATTAAAAATGATATCAAAATGAAAGTAATTTAGAGATGCACCACTGTAATAACCTTGCCTGGACGGGTTTTGTTGTCAGTGATGGAGGTGAAGGGCTGCAGGTCAGAGGTGGAGGTGTTCAGGAGGTCTCCAGTTGAGACGGTGCCCAGGAGGCATTCAGTGTCTGTCAAATATTCTCCATCTTCACAAAACCTTCAGATGTCAACACCTCGCTCGTCGCTTCCTCTGAACATCAGAAACTCACACAGGTGAGTCAGGCAATTCTTTTTGCATGTACATGAAATTTTTCCTTACCATGCATGACGATGTAATTCTGTTTATTTAATTGATATCTTTTACTGAATGTAATAAGTGTCTATTTTATTTTATGACTCCAGCAGGTGCAAATTTAATTTAACCACTACCATTTAGTACTTTTTATTTTATTTCTGTAGCAGGTAGTTCTGGAGGTACCTACAGTTGAGACATTTGCTCACAAATGTCTTGGGTACCCTTCAAACTCTCCTAAGGGTAAAAATATTGATAACATGGCCCGCAATATTATAGGTACTGGACTTGAAGCTTCTAAATAGTATACTATGCACTAGGGATGTAACAATATTGTAAATACCGTCATACCGCAATAGTAATTTTTTTTAATATTACTGTAGGCGCATGACTCAATAAAACTATATTTCTGAGAAAAGTTTGCGTAGGCGAATGAAGCGAACGGGAGGTAGCAGGAACTACAATTCCTATCAGCCTAGGCGTGGCCATCATCCTTTGCGGTCTGTTGTCACTACAGATCCAGTAATCGGGAAATGGAGTGTGCTGCTAGTAGCGGGGAAGAAAAAGAGCTGGAAATGATCGAAGCTAAAGCGGGTTTTAAATCGGATGTGTGGAAGCATTTTGGTTTCTTTCTAAAAAGATACGAAAAAGGAGAAAAGGTGACAGATAAAGAAAAAAAACAGTATGCAGGCACTGCCAGGCTGTGGTGAAATACATGTCGGGGAATACGACTAAAAACAGTCATGGGGACAGCAGAACACAGCACACTGTTCAGATTGATGCAGACATTGACTTGTACCGCAAAGAGACCTCTATCTCACTCATGGCTTGTCCTCTCAAGTGGGGGAAAGACAATGCACAACGTTACCCACTGCTGTCAACCTGGGCCAAGTCATATCTCTCTGTCCCAGAAACCTCAGTCCGAAATGAGAGGGTTTTTTTCTGTTGCAGGGGACATGCCCAGAGATCCCAGCTTTTACCAGATTATAGTTATATGATAATTCTCCTTAAAAAGAGTGGGTGATTAAATGTTGAATGTGATGAGTTTTCAACAATACTAAATTGAAACTTTATTTTTTTATATGATTTAATAGTTTTTTGTTATTAAAATTGAAAAATTGAAATTCCTGTTTCGAAACTTACAGATAGATGGCTAATTTGTATGTCATTGATATGCTCAGTGCTAAGGTAAATAAACACTTTTGGCACTTTTTTTTCGAGTCTTTTTATTAGTTTTGTTTTTCCAGTAAATTACTCAACAAATACCGTACCGTGCCATTCATACCGAGGTATTATCGTACCGTGAAATTCTGATACCTTTACATCCCTACTATGCACTAGTCAATGGAGTCAAAATATTAGTTCTGCAGTTAAGATAATATGGGAAGAAGATTTGGGATGCACATTTGAAGATGAGAACTGGGGAAAAATTGCTGGAAAATTAAAATGAATGTCTAGAGTTGTTATAACAAGTCTTATACAGTTTAAAATTGTACATAGATTTTACTTGGAATCCTAAGAGACTGTTCAGAGCAGGTTTTAAAAACATTCCAGAATGCTGGCGATGCCAAGAAGAAGCGGGTGACTTATTTCATGTATTATGGCAATGCCCAGATATTCAACATTTTTGGAGAGAGGTGCATGAATACCTTGTAAAGATATTGCAGACCCCATATCTTTCACCCAAGCTTATATATACTTGGTGACCCATGTCCTTTAAGCCACATGAATAAAGCTAAATAACAGTGGATACAGAGCTGCATCATGCTAGGCTGACGGGTGACTGTTAAAAACTGGAAATCTTCTTCGCCAACATGGGGAGAACATAAACTCCATACAAAAATGCCAACTGACCCAGCCGGGACTCAAACCAGCGACCTTCTTGCTGTGAGGCGACAGTGCTAACCACTGAACCACCGTGTCACCCATTATTATTATTACTTATCATTCATTTTCTTTTCGGGTTAAACCCTTTTTTAATCTGGGGTCACCACAGCGGAATGAACCGCCAACTTATCAAGCATATTTTACACTGCGGATGCCCTTCCAGCTGCAACCCATCTCTGGGAAACACTCATGCACTCTCATCCACACACATTTACTATGGACAATTTTTAGCTTGTGGGGGAAACCCACACGAACACGGGTAGAACATGCAAACTCCACATAGATATACTAACTGACCCAGTCGAGGCTCGAACCAGGGACCTTTGTGCTGTGAGGCAATCAGACTACCCACTGCACTACTGTGTAGCCCATTATTATTATTATTACACTAATAATAATCCACTAGCCATTAAAATAATCCTTTATTTATTGTTTAGCCCTGTGTAGGTCTGAAATTTCATTAATAATAGTCTTAAAATTGTCTTTAAAAGTCTTAAATTAGACTTGTTGAGATCTGCAGTACCCCTGTTTAATGATTGTTTTTGGTGTTTTGATTGTTCAGCGTTTCGTCTAAAGGGGAATTTCGAGCTTCATCCGCTCCTCTGATTCCCAATCCGTTTCCGGAGCTCTGCAGTCCGACACAGTCTCCTGTGCTGACCGGCTCTCTGGGCGTCAGGGATCCTCCGTCTGACAGCAGCACACATGTAAGTGAAGCCCCATGCTTTTATCCATGACTGAAATGACAGACAGTCGCCTGCAGCGCTGTGAATTCTCCACGGTTATTATAGGTGACACCTGTTCCTCTGGGGAACTGCAGCACATCACAGGGCATTGAGTTCATAGACGTGTCAACAGAAGTTGCTGTCACTTTCTTTAGCACTCATGACTTTAAATTGCACCTATTCTGTATTTATTTTTAAATATAAGCTTTCATGTATTGTGTATTGTAGTTGTTTGTAATTGTAAAGATTAATGGGGTAATTATCTCCCAAAAGAAAGATGGATTTAGGATTCTCCTTGGCTGAATTAACATGTTAACACTGTGCTGGTATAAATATTTTACTGCTAGAATATTTAGCATATTTGTTGAATTTATTAATATGAACATTATTGTGTTATAATGCTATGCTTGCATAAATGGCATGTTTCTAGCTTGATTAAACATAATTATCATCTTTAGATTATTATTTTTCATGTTTACCATGTGGCTAGGTTGAATTTACATTATGATAGCATGTTTTAATGTAATGCTAGCATGAGTTGACATGTTTATTGCATGTTTTAGCACATGGCTAACACGTTTTACCACTGGGATGAATTCTGAATTCTCCTGTTAGGATATTTTGAATGTTTGCAGATTTTAATTAACAATAACATTAATTAACATTACATTAATTAACATTATTAATTAAGATTAAACATTATTTTGTTTTAATGCTTTGCTAACATAAAATAGCATGCTAATAGCATGTTTCTAGCATGGTCTAACACAATTAGCATAATAAATAATGATAGAAACATGTTTAACAAGTAGCTAGCAAACATTTACTTGATGATAGCATGTTTTCATGTAATTATGCTAGCATGAATTGGCATATTTATAGCATGTTTAGCACATGGCTAACATGTTTTACTCCTGAGATGAATTATCATGTTAGGTTGTTTCGTATATTTGCTGAATTGAATTGACCTGAACACGTTATCATGTTTTAACGCTATGCTAACACATAATAGCATGTTTCTAGCATGGTCAACCACAATTATCATATTTCTATCATTATTTAGGTTAACCATGTCAGGGCTCGAAATTGCGACCATTTTGGTCGCATATGCGCTCGAAAATTAATCTATGCGACCTCATAATGTATTTGGGCACATTAGTGCGACTGCAGATAATAGTTGTAGTGCGACCTGTTTTGATTTTTGCTAAAAACGTGCTGAATTGCTCTTCCCTGCCGCTATATTGGTTTATATACGCCGTCAATAACTCAAGGTATTCCGCTGTCAGATGACAGGGAAGGAGCTTTTATGACCACGGGAAATGCAAATGGCTGAAGAGTGAAAACTTAAAGCACACAGGTTTGCAAACCCCACCTAAAGTTGAGGCGCAGATGAGAGCGATCATGACATGTGGTGAATATTCATCCGCCAGCTGAGATCAATCGAGTACATGCTTACTGCAATGCTTCATTTTTGTTTGATGCAAACTATACATTTATTTTTCATAAAGTAACAGACTTTTTATAGCAGATAACCTGCATTCAAGCACATTCAAGGCAGCATGATGATGACAAATGTAATTTATTGTCACTATTATTGTCATTTTCATCATCATTAATATTTTATAGTTATTCGACATTCACTTTGGAATTATTGCACACAAATATCAATGTCATCTCAGCATTAGTTAGATAGTTGTTTCTGGTTTTTGTTAGTCCTAATTGATGTTGTTTTAAAATACAATAAATCCCTTATAATACAATTTGCAGCGGTGCTCAATTATTTTTGGTGTGTGCTCCTAATTTTTTTCTGATGCTCCTAAATTTTTTCTGGTGCTCCTAAATATTTGAAGTTGGGAGCACCGGTGCTACCAAGTAAAAAAGTTAATTTCGAGCCCTGCATGTGGCTAGTAAGATATTACTTGATGATAGCATGTTTTAATGAAATGCTACCATGTGTTGACATGTTTATCGCATGTTTTAGCACATGGCTAACACGTTCTACCTCTGGGATGAATTCTCATGTTGAGATATTTTTAATATTTGCTGATTTTAATTGACATGAAAACATTTTCATGTTTTAATGCTTTGCTAACGTAAAACAACATGCTAATAGCATGTTTCTAACATGGTCTAACATAATTAGCACAATAAATATTGATAGAAAATGTTTTATCATGTTTTAACGCTATGCTAACACATAATAGCATGTTTCTAGCATGGTCTAGCACAATTATCATATCTCTGTCATTATTTAGGTTTACAATATGGCTGATTTTAATTAACTTGATAACATGAACATTTTTAATGCTATGCTAGCATAAAATAACATGCCAATAGCATGTTTTTGCACAGTCTAACACAATGACCATATCTCTATCATCATTTATCATGTTTACCATGTGGCTAGCAAATATTTGCCTGATGATAACATGCTACCATTTAATGCTAACATGAATTGGCATGTTGATAAATTTTTTTAGCACATGGCTTACATGTTTTACTGTTGGAATGGATTATCATGTGAGAATATTTAGCGTGTTTGCTGACATGAATTAACATGAAAGCATTAACATGTTTACATAAAATAGCATGCTAATAGCATATTTCTAGCATAGTCTAGCACAATTATCATGTTTCACAATTATCATTTATCATTATTTGTCATGCTTCCCATATGGCTAGCACACTTTTACCTGGTGATAGCATGTTTTTATGTAATGTTGCTACCATAAATTGGCGTGCTTATAGCATGTTTTAGCACATGGCCAACATGTTTTTCTGCTGAGATTAATTATCATGTTAGGATGTTTAACGTATTTTACTGAATTAACATTACCACATTATCATGTTTTAATGCTATGCTAGCATAAAATAACATGCAAATATAATTATCATGTTTTTATCATTATTTATAATGTTTACCATGTGGCTAGAAAATATTTATCTGATAATAGCATGTTTTTATGTAATGCTAGCATGAATTGCCATGCTTATAGCATGTTTTAGCACATGGCTAACATGTTTTACTGCTGGGATGAATTATTATGTTAGGATATTCAGTGTATTTGCTGAATTGAATTAACATGAATACATCATCATGTTTTAATGTTATGCTAGCATAAAATAGCATGCTAATAGCATGTTTCTAATTACTTCTACACACGCAAAAATGTTTAAATGAGCAAAATAAACAAACAAATAGAAATTTTGAATAATAAATAAACATTTAAGAACTGTAGTTTCAGTGTCAGATATATCTAGAATACATGTTGGATGGTTATATTCTGGACTATATTCTAAGGTTTGGCTTCAGTTTACTTTCTAAATGAAGGAAAGACTAATGAGCCATATGCCTGACAATAAATATTCAATAAATGCCTGTCCAAGTGCTTTTAGCCATGCAGCTTCAAAATCTCACTCTTTATGAGCTTTTTAAACGCATGAAAAGTCATTATGTATGTTCTGGAAAGCGGTTGACCAGATTGTTATGTTTATTCATAGGTGGTTCGGGTATTCAGCGATGCCACTCACTGCCGTTCAGTCCTGGTCTCCTCCAGAGCGACAGCACATGATGTCTGTCAGATGCTGGCTCAGAGCGCACACTGCACAGATGAGGAAAGCTGGGCTCTCATTGAACATCATACTGCTTTAGGCCTGGGTAAGACACATGAGAGGAAAAATTCTATTTAATTTAATTTAATATAAATTTTTTTTAATTGAATGTAACTTTAATTTTAATGTAATTTTTATTTATTTTCATTTAATGTAACTTAATTTAATTTATTAATTCATTATTATTTTTTCTGCTTAGTCCCTTATTAATCTGGGGTCACCACAGTGGAATGAACCACCAATTTATCCAGCATATATGTTTTATGCAGCAGATGCCCTTCCAGCTGCAACCCAACACTAGGGAAACACCTATACACTCTTACTTTCACACTTATACTCTACAGCCAATGTAGTTTATTCAATTCCCCTATAGCCCATGTATTTGGACTGTGGGGAAACCGGAGCACCCGGAGGAAACCCACGCCAACACGAGGAAAACATGCAAACTCCACACAGAAATGCCAACTGACCCAGCGACCTTCTTGCTGTGAGGCAATCGTGCTACCCAGTACACCCCCATGACACCTAATTTAATTTAATGTAACTTTATTTAATTTGAATAAAATTTTATGTAACTTATTTTAATTTTAATTTAATGTAACTTAAATTAAATTTTATGTATCTAAATAAAATTCGTATTTCATGTAACTTCATTTAATTTTTATTTAAGTTAAATGTATTTTAATTTAATGTAACTAAATTTAATTTTAATTTTTATTTAATGTAACTTAATTTTATTTTAATTTTTATTTAATGCAACTTAATTAAATTTATTTAATTTTAATTAAATTTAACTTGATTGAATTATTGTAACTTAATTTTAATTTATTTAAATTTAATGCAACTTAACTTAATTTTAATTTAATGCAACTTAATTGAATTTAATAACATTTTTTATTTGCCATAGCAGTAGTGTGTAAGCAATTTCATATAGCTCCAGGTTTCACATTTTTTTAACAATGTTAGTATCAAATTTAATTAATGTTTTACATTTTTTATGGTAACATATGTTTTATTTTATTTGCTGTAGCAAACAGGTGTAAACAGTTCAAACAAAATATGCTTTAAAAAAAGTTAAAAGCATAAATAAATGAATATAAATTTAATGAATTTATTAGTTGGGCGGAGCTAAGCAGGCAGGGATCTAGAAGTGGTCGTTGATATTCTGCAGAGGCGGTACTATGACATTATAAATGTCACATACTGTACAAAACCTGTCTTTTCGGCTTCAATATAAGCAGTATTAATACTAACAAGAATGTCTGGAGTTACTTCCAGAATACTATTTATTATTACAATAACAAAATATGTAAAAAAGATAAGCTAATTCTATATCTCACCCCTTTAAAATCATCAAACCAAAGCTGTACAGACTTCCTAACCTTTTCTTCAGTCTCTGTCAAAGAATATGGTGAAGAGTAAAATAATCTACTCGACCGAGAAATTAATCTTTCACAATGTTGCCTATTAATTCAAATACTTTCATAATGACATGTAAAATGACATACTTCACCAACAAACAAAACATAATAAGGCTTGTCAGTTATTTTATCAATACTGTCGGAATTGTCTATAAGGCTTGCCACAGCCATATCACCCTGCAGCCCAAGAGCGGTTACTCACTGAAGCTAAGCAGGGCTGAGCCTGGTTAGTACCTGGATGGGAGACCACATGGGAAAACTAGGTTGCTGTTGGTAGTGGTGTTGGTGAGGCCAGCAGGTGGCGCTCAACCTGCAGTTTGTGTGAGTCTTAATGCCCCCAGTATAGTAAAGGGGACACTATACTGTCAGTGAGCGTCGTCTTTTGGAGACGTTAAACTGAGGTCCTGACTCTCTGTGGTCATTAAAAAACCCATGGCATTTCTCGTAAAGTGTAGGGGTGTGGCCCAAATTCCCTCCAGAGGCCCTTACCCATCATGGTCTCCCAATCCACCGAACTGGCTCTATCACTGTCTCTCCTCTCTACCAATAGCTAGTGTTTGTTGAGCACACTGGCGCCGTTGTCCTGTGGCTGCCGTTGCATCATCCAAGTGGATGCTGCAGTCTAGTGGTGGAGTGGAGAGACCCCCCCTCATGATTGTGACGCACTTTGGGTGTATGGCCATACATGATAAATGCACTGTATAAATGCACAGTACTTGTATTGGAAAGCCCAGTGGTTTGCTGTTTTGCATGCACTTGTTGTTTTGCATGCACTTGTTGTTTTGCATGCGGTTGTTGTTGTTGTTTTTTTCACTGCAAGACAAATAGCTTTTGACAAATCGAAATGTAATTTCACATTCACGCTTCATTGTTCCACTAAATGCCGCCTCAAATGCCACCTTGTTTCTGAAGTGTGAATGGAAATCATGCTAACACAAAAGCTGACATGTGGCTTTGTGCTTCTACGACTGGTTCTTTTAAAGGAATCAGGCCCAGGGGTGTTTTGTGGAAAGCAGCAGTAAAATGAACACAACCAACGTGTTATACTGGCTTTTACAATGGCTCTAGTTAATCTTTTGACAGGCACTGGTCTGGGTTTCATCAACCTTTAGCTTGAAAAGAAATCTTTTTTTTCATGGTTTCTCATTAATAAAGCACATGTAGGACAGTTTAATTAGTAAAAAAAAGGATTGTTTTTTTGTAATTAACACTATTTATCTTGCTGATTACAATCACCATATTATTTTCATTCATTTCTTTTCCTTCGGCTTGGTCCCTTATTCATCAGGGGTCGCCACAGCGGAATGAACCACCAACTATTCCAGCATATGTTTTATGCAGTGGGATGCCCTTCCGGCCGCAACCCAGTACTTAGAAACACTCACACACTCTCGCATTCACACACACTCTTACATTAAGGCCAATTTAGTTCATCCACTTCACCTGCTGTATGGCGCATGTGTTTGGACTGATGGTAATATAAATGGTCATTTATATTATATTATTTTATTGTAATTTATATTATATAAATTATTATTTATTATTTAGTTTTATGTTTTACATTTTTTGATGATGGTAATATTTTATTTTATTTTGTTAACTGTAACAATAGTGTGTAAACAGCTTCAAACTGAGACAAGTTTAATATATTTTTAACAATGTTAATATCAAATTTAAATAATTATTTAATTTATTTTACACTTTTTTGATTATGGTATTTTTAAATTAAATTTATTTTATTTTATTTCATTTTATTTTATTTTATCTTATTTTATTTCATTTCATTTCATTTCATTTCATTTCATTTCATTTTATTTTATTTTATTTTATTTTATTTTATTTTATTAGCTGTAGCAATTTTGTGTAAGCTGTTTTAGACAGCTCCAGGTTTTACATTTATAAATAATGCAAATATCAAATTTAATAAGTTAAATTTTTTAAATAAGGTAATATTAATTTATTTAATTTTTTTGTTTTATTTTATTAGCTGTAGTAATAGTGTGTAAAAAGTTTCAGACAGCTCCAGGTTTCACATTTTCTTACCCTTTCATGCACTTACCCTAATATCAAGTTTAATTATCTATATCTGTTTCACAGTTTTGGATTGTGGTTAAGTCAGGTCCTTGTTTCACATTCTTTTTTAAATATTGGTAATCTAATTTATTTATTTTGTAGTAAATAATTTTTTGTTTATTTTGAACTATTACTATTTTATACTGTTTAATTGTAAGTATTTACTCTCAACATTGACAATGTATCTGAACATTTGATTGTGATAACTGGTTGTAATTTTCTGTACACTTATTACTCTTGTTTCCATTTTCTTTTCATCTTTTTATTATTATTATCATTATTATATTTTAGGGTTTTTTTTCTTTTCTTTCTTCCATTTTTTTCTCTTTTGTAAAAAAAACAACAACAAAAAATATGTAACTATTCTGATATAGTGTTTGTATTTTCACAATAAAAATTAGAACAAAAATATTGGTAATATCAAATTAAATGTATTATTTAGTTTTAAGTTTTATTTTATTTTATTGCTACAGCAATAGTGTAACCAGTTCAAAACAGCTCCATGTTTCCCATTTTTTTTTAATTAAAACTATTATTTAAATAAATAAATATATTTATTATTTAATTTCATCTTTCACATTTTTTGATTATGGTACACAATTTTTATTTATTAAATTTAATTTAATTTTAAAAGTTATTATAGTAAGTTAACCGTTTTATTTTCGCTCTTTATTAATTACTTTGTTTAAACCCTCATTATGCAATAGCTGGAAATAATATGTGCTGTATTTCTTTGTGTAATGTAATAATTGATTTAGTAAGATCATTTGTATTCAGTCTTTTATCGCATGTATCTGTATTTTCAGAGCGCTGTCTGGAAGACCATGAGCTTGTGCTGCAGGTTCAGTCCTCCTGGCCTGTAGAGGGCGACACTAAACTGCTCTTCCGCAAAAACTACGCCAAGTACGAGTTCTTCAAGAAACCTGTGGTATGAAGACAACAATACAGTTTACATTTGATTTCAAGCACAGATCATCAGCTAGCCGTGTTTAATTGTGCCTTTTTCTCCAGTCATTTTTCCCAGAGCACATGATCTCTGACAGCGCTGATGTCACTAAAGGCATGACATCATCAGAGCTGGTCCAGGTAGGAGGATCCAGAGCTTTTAAAGGGGTCTTTTTTGTTTATTTGTACCAATCTCTGCAGTCCACTTATCATAATATTGAAGTAATAGTCAATTTTCTGGCCAGTTTTGATCTCTTATTGGAACACAACATTTAAATAGACATGGTAGATTATAGACTAAAAGTAAATTCACACTATTGTGATTGGCTGACACCATGTCCTAACAACACGCGACTAAATACTAACCAAATATATAAAAACTAAGTAGAAATTGTGTTCACAAAAATAAAAACTAAGCCAAAACTAATGATACCATTCATTTCAATTCAATTCAGGTTTATTTGTATAGTGCTTTACATAATAATTACTGTTTCAAAGCAGCTTTACAAAAGGAACACATTATTGCATTACAATCAAATTTAGAAAAGTTAAGATTATTAGTTACCATAACTTTATTAGTTACAAATAGTATTAGTTACTAATACAGTGGTCTCTTTTAACTGCAGGAGTTACATTCTAAAAATAGCCCACAATAGGTGAAATCAAAGTAGTCCGCGTTATTTTTTACAATTATTATAGATGTTTTAAGCCTGTAAAACTCCTCACAACACTTTTTTTTTTGATCAAGGTATTGTTATTTAATTTTACAAGCTGTAGTTTACAGTATAACATAAGTTCAACAGAACTAAGAACCCATCCACCCCCCCACAAATACCAGACAAACAATATACAAGGCTTACATAGCCAGATGTCCAAAAATAAATAGGTAAAATACAATAATAAAAAGTAGAAAGGACAAAAAAAATAATAATAATAGTAAATAAAGATGACTGAGGACTCCTCACTACACTTTTTCTATACTTTTCTCAGACAGGCATTAATATTTTCACACTTTTCCTCCTGTTTAAGCATTTGTGTAACAGAAGTTTTACTTTTTGTGCGATAGTTAACATCTTCCTCTGCCTTTTGGGTGCTACCGCAGGTGCCTTTGACAGTGCAGGACGTTTTATGAACGTTGTGTTGGGGGAAAAACTTCACACTGAAGTTTGAGCTCGCGTAATTCTGCTGTACGGCGCTATGAAAATTGGGTGGGATTAAACAAGATGATTAGACATTTAACAAGCAAGCGATTGGTCCATATTTAAAATATCTGTACAGAGAGGTCATGTTTTGATCTTCGATCTGTCTCGCACAATGACGTGATGTGATTTCGCAGGTCAGAGTTCACCAAGCTTGAACTTTCCAAACATGTCGCATGAGCTTGCATTTCCAGACTGTTGCATAACATGCGAATGAATGGAAGTCTATGTGGAGAAAAGTGCAGTGTGACCGCAGCTTTACGCTGCTAGCGATCTAAGATTTATGTAAATTTGGCAAGCTGAACGCATTCTGTATGCGTTGACAATGACAATGGTCTTGAGCCAATCAGGACGCAGAACACAATTCGCTTATCAGGGCGCTGTAAAAAAAAGCATGTCAAACTGCACAAAAAAATCTGCGAAACTATGAGGCCGCGAAAGGTGAAGCACGTTATAGTAAGGGACCACTGTATACTAATATTAGTTTGCTTAATTCAACACATAAAATAAAAAAAATGTATAGAAATAATGTAAATATAAAAAACACGAATAGAAATGAAATTATTAAAAATATAATCATATTAATGTTACATTGTGTATAAATAATAATGTAAATAAAATAATGTAAATAAAAAAACTATCCAAAATGTAAACAATATAAAAAGTAAAAATAAATAAATAAATAAATAATAAAAATATTAATAATAAAATTGTAGCAAAATACAAATAAAAATAAAAAAATGAATGAAAAAATAAAAAAGCTAGCACATAAACAAAATTAAATAATAAAATAAACTTTCAAATTAACTAATAAATTAACAAAACATAAAATAAATACTTTTAATTAAGACAAAAATGTGTTAATAAAATATTTACATAAAAATATGCTTTAAAAAAATAAAATAAAAAATAAATAAATAAATAAATTGACAAATTAGCATGTATAGTAAAAAATATTATTTTCTCAGCAAATTTACAAATAGTATTAAAACTAAAACTAATTGAAAAAGGCAAAACTAGAATAATGTTGGTGGGCGGAGCTAGGCAGGCAGTGATCTAGAAGTGGGCGTTGATATTCTGTGGAGGCGGAGTTTAGCCACACTATTACATAATAAAGTGTCACATACTGTACACAACCTGTCATTTCGGCTTCAATATAAGCAGTTTTGATTCTAACAGGAAAGTCTGGAGTTATTCATATCATTTCTTTATAGTATTTTAGATTTACGTTGTATTCTGTTCAATTTAGTTTAGATTATTTATTTGGTTATTCTCAATATGCACATTTTATTAATATGTATTTTCTGTAAATAAATAAAACCAGTTATTTACTAAATTAATTTCTTATATATTATATTCTTATATTATATTATTATACACACTATTTCATAATAAAGTGTCACATACTGTACATAGCCTGTCATTCTGGCTTCAAAATAAGCAGTTTTGATGCTAACGAGAAACTCTGGAGTTACTTAAACAATGCTTTTTATTATTACCATGAAAATATGTCAAAAAGATCAAGCGGATTTAGATTTCTGCCCCCTTTAAAATCATCAAAATACAGCGGTACAGACTTCCTAACCATTTCCTCCGTCTCTGTTGAAGAATATGGTGAAGAGCGGCTCCTGTCCGGAGATTCAGGGCTTTCTGCATGTGAGAGAGGGTGGAAAGAAATCCTGGAAGAAACTGTATTTTGTTTTGCGGCGGTCTGGGCTGTACTGCTCCAGCAAAGGACAGTCGAAGGTGCCGCAAACACACAAAAGCACATTCATGCACACACATTTGTTCTGTTTGGACATGTACATTTGAAGTCACAATTTTCACCCTCCTGTGAATTTCTTTTTCTTTTTTAAATATTTCCTAAATGATGTTTAACAGAGCAAGGAATTTTTCACAGTATTTGCTATTATGTTTAATCCTCTGAAAAAAAGTCTTGTTTGTTTTATTTTGACTAGTTTTACATTTTTTAAATCCATTTTAAGGTCAATATTATTAGCCCCCATTGAACAATATTTTTTGATTGTCTAAAGAACAAACCACTGTTACGCAATGACTTCCCTAATTACCCTAACTTAACCTAGTTAAGCCTTTAAATGCCACTTTAAGCGCAATACTAGTATCCTAAAAATATCTATTCAAATATTATGTACAGCCATCATGGCAAAGTTAAACTATAACCTTCAACTGTATGTCTGTAGGAACCTCGGCACCTGCAGTTTACTGGAGATCTGGAAGATCTGAATGTGTTTACAGTGTTCACTGGCCGAAAACATTACGGGGCACCAGGAGAACACGTCTTCTGCATTAAGGCAAGTGTTATGAAGTGTTTCTTTTCTATTATTGGTAGAATTTAGTGGTGTTTATTATTGTTTTATATTTATCTTATATTCAATCATAAATTACTTTGGTTTATTTTTAGTTTAAATATCAGTAGAGTTTTATTTCTTTATATTATTTTAGATTTACATTTTCTGCTCATTTTAGTTTGTTTATTTGTTCTCGATATGCCCTTTTTTTAAGGCGCATTGTGTATTCATAAATAAATATAATCAATTATAATATGAGTTTTCTCATGTCATATTGTAGTATTATATTACATTATATTTACTATTATATTAATATATTATTTACATTAAGGAACTATTATTGTTCATATTTTTATGTACCAAGGCATTACATTTTATTTGTGAAGTTTATTTATAAAATAATTTCGAGAGGATAGTGTGCCTATGATTGCTTGCAGCTGGTCCTGCATTACTCCATTTATGATTCACCAATCAGACGATTCCTAAGCCACTATAAATACCCAATAAGTTCCAAATAACAGCCATCTTCGTTTTGAAGAATCCCCCTTTCCACCCCTACTCCTCCTCCTTTCCTAGATGGGTGGCACGGTGACCCAGTGGTTAGCACTGTTGCCTCACAGCAAGAACGTCACTGGTTCTAGTCCTTACCAAGCCAGCCGACATTTCTGTGCGGAGTTTACACATTCTCCCCGTGCTCATGTGGGTTTCCCTTGGGTTCCCCGGTTTCCTCCCACCGTCCAAAAAACATGCAACTAGTAGTAGTAGTAGTAGTAGTAGTAGTAGTAAAACTTTATTGTCCTTGACAGGAGATTTGTTTTGGGCATCGCCATATTGCTGCAGACACTCACTAAAACAAGCAATAAAAAACAGTATAAAATACAACAATTACAAAATTTATGGTGCCAATTAAGATATACTCTTATTAAGTAAACCCACTGACACAGGTACAAAGGATTTCTTGTAACGGTTTAACCTACACTTTGGGACTCTATATCTTCTACCAGAGGGAAGCAGTTCGTACTGGGGAAACAAAAAATGAGTTGGATCCTTTACAATCCTATCCACCTGATTGAGGACACAGTTCTCATATAAAACTTGAGGATTAAAATTTTCGTTGTGCCCGACAATTTTCCATGCTGTCTTTAAGAGATGCATCAGTTTAGATTTACACTGAACAGAAAGGTTGCCAAACCACACTGTAATGCCATACCTGACAATGCTTTCAAGAACTGCTTTATAAAACAGCATCATGAGCTTCTTGTTGACTCCAAAAAGACGCAACCTCCGTAAAAAATACAATCTCTGGTGTAAACGAGAACAAACCCAATCAATGTGTGTATTCCATGTGAAAGAACTGTCGATATGAATGCCCAAGTACTTATAGGTTTCTGACTGAGTAATAGGATCATCATGTACAACCACTTGACGATGGTCACCTATGCACTTTGGGTCAAATACCATCTCTTCTGTTTTCTTAGTATTTATTTTTAGCTTATTTCTATCACACCAATCAATGAACTGACTAATTTCTGACTGATATATCACCCCAATATCATCCTTCTCATAAAGTAAACTTAAAATGGCTGTGTCATCAGAGTATTTAAAAATAAAATTCTGTGAATGCTTACTTATACATTCATTTGTAAAAAGTGTAAAAAGAATAGGTGAACTGACACAGCCTTGTGGAACCCCAGTACTACTGTTCTTTTCCTCTGAACAGATGTTTTTAACCTTGACAACCTGAGTTCTGTTTGTTAAAAATGAGAAATACCATTTGCATATGAATGGGTTTATATTCAGCTGTTCCATCTTTTCAATTAATAAATGTGGTTGGATCGTATTAAAAGCGGAACTAAAATCAATAAAAAGCAGTCGAGCATAAGCTTTAGGATTGTCTAAGTGCTTAAGAATCAAGTGCGAAATACTATTAACTGCATCTTCAGTACCTCTGCCATACCTATAGGCAAACTGTAGAGGATCTAAATTACTAGCAACTTCTGATTTTACAATGGACACCACACATTTCTCAAAACATTTCATGATAACAGATGTTAATGCCACCGGTCTAAAATCATTGTACTCAGAGGGCCTCGCCAACTTAGGAACAGGAACAATTAATGATTTTTTCCACAAACTAGGAACAATACCAGAGTCTAAGGATTTTTGAAATATGGGAACCCAAACTGGAGTCAGTTCATCAGCACAGCATTTAACAGTGTATGGCAAAATTCCATCTGGACCTGCAGATTTATTTGAGCCAATATGTTTAAAATAAAAATTTATCTGCTTAGGATCAATCAGTGGCCTATCATAAGTAACACCTCTAGGAGACATTACCTCCGAACTGTTGACTGGGGTGTATTCACAATTCTCAAATCTTAAGAAAAAGTCATTCAACTCATTCACTTTCTGTGAGTCATCAAAAATAGAAATAGAGGGAGTAAAAGACTGCATATTGGACATAGATTTCATAGAGTCCCACAGTTGTTTAGAATTAGACATGTCTAGTCTATTCTGCAGGCATTGTTTATGTTTTATCCTAGCGTCTCTTAATAATCCATTTAACTCCTTCTGAGTAACTCTTAATCCTTGATGATCATGATTATGAAAGGCCAACTTCTTCCTCTTAATACAATCTTTAATGTCCTTTGTGATATATGGTTTATTGTTGGCATAGATGACTATATCCTTTTTTGGTATCACATTCTCAGTGCAGAAATTAATATAATCTGTTATTACCGTGGCAGTTTCATTAATATCCTCGCTATGAAAAACTTCCCAGTCAGTACAGAGAAAACAGCCTTTCAAGGCTTCAACGCTGTCCTCTGACCAAACATTCACAGTCTTCACCACGGGTTTATTTTTCTTTAAAAGAGTCTTATACGTAGGAATTAAAAACACAGTATTGTGATCAGAGTTTGAAAGGGGAGGTCTTACCCTGGACGTGTATGCCTCTTTGATGTTCCCATAGCATTTGTCTAAAACATTTTTGTCTCTTGTATTGTCTTTAACATATTGATCATATCCAGAAAGAACAGTCTCCAATTTACAATGATTAAAATCACCAAGAATAAACACCGGCGCTCCTGGTGTACGTTCAAGTTGGTCTTGAATACAGTCTCTTATAGCACTGGCGGCTATAGCTGCCTTAGCGGAAGGTGGAACATAAGCCACACAGATTAATATATTCCCGAATTCTCTTGGGAGGTAGAAAGGTCTCAAACTCAAGCATAAGAGCTCAATATCCGGATTACATACTGCAGATTTAATTGTTATGTGACTGCACCAACGCTCATTCACATAAACGCAGATTCCACCTCCTCTGCTTTTTCCTGAGGCGGCAGATCTATCGGCTCGAATTAGAGAAAAGCCTTGTACCTCTACCAGTGAACTCGGAATCTCCGGACGAAGCCATGTTTCAGTCAGTGCCAGGAGACCCGCCTCTCGATACTCAAAGCAGGCTCTAGCTTTGATGCGTAGTTCATCCATCTTCTGTTGCAATGATCTGACGTTACTTAGAATAATTGCAGGTAACGGGGGTCTGTTTCCACGTCGGCGAAAACGCCGCCGGACGCCGCCTCTGTGACCTCTTTTCCTACGACATGTACTCGCCGTCACCCTGTTTCTCAAACAGTCGGGAAGGTTAGGTGGTGCACCAAAGTCGGCTGACCGAAGCTGAAGCAAGTCCTCTCTTGTGTACACCATGATCAGGTCGCTATTCGTTGTTATGTGCGTGTAGCCGGCAGAAAACAGGTGCCCGATTATTAGCAGGCCAATAAAGAGTTCTACGAAAGTCGTCATACTGATATTGCACCCGAAACTACTAAAGTACCAGTGTACCGCCACAAAGTTTAAATAATTAAGTATACCAGCAAGTTCAAAAGTAATTTCACAAAAAATGTCAGCAGCAACAAGTGCCCGTTGTACTCTTTAAACTAAAGTAAATTGACTAATCCAAATCTGCACCATAGACATGCTCCTATAAGTAGTTATCTCTTAAGAGCAATCACTCTCTGTTCATTAGCTACTAAGGCAGGGGAGTTCTCGAGATCTACCTGAGCTCAAACTCCCCTCTCGCCTTGCAAACGGGAGGGAGCCCCGGGCTCGAGGATCTTATGAGCTTAGGGCTCTCTCCCCAGACAGCATGCCAAACTAGTTTCATAGTCAATCGTCAACTAAGTATGTACTCTTTAAGTATTTTTAGTGTTTTCAGTATTTGTATTTATATTCATTCATTCATTTGTGTTTTTATTCGGGATGCTCCGATCGATCGACCGGAGATCGGTATCGGCTAATAATCACATTTAATGACTCAGTTCAGTATTCACTGATCTGGCTGATCTCATGAACCGATCGCAAGTGTTTGTTTATGAGTTTAAAAGCAGAGGCAGATGCACATAAAACATACATCCTGGGTTATACATACAGCAGCTACAACATGTGAGGAGATGAATGAAGTGTGGGAGAATGACGCTCCAGTCACAGCAGCTAAAATACATACGGATGTGGTGCAACCATTGTATATCCAGTGTTTGGAGCTGCTGAGCAGAGCGATCACCCTATCCAGTGTCTCATCCAACCGTATGACCTTTGTCAGAAGCTCTGTGAGTGTCCCGCATATTCATACCGGCTCCATGACGGCTGTGAATTAGTGAAAATACTCGACTCGTGAATAAAATTGTGTTTTAGGCATTATAAAGCTTGAATCATCAGAATTTGTACTCAATATCAGCCGATCACCATGACAAGGAATCGGTACTCAGTTTTGGCTACAAAACTCCTGATCGGAGCATCCTTAGTTTTTATTTATTTATTTAAAACTAACTAAAGTGATAAATACATATGACAAAATGCCAAATATTTTTTTATTTAAATAATTGAATTTACTAAAAATAATTAATGTATATGATTAAAAACTTTTTTTAGTCATTTGGCACATTATTTTGATAACTAAATGAAATAAAATGATTTTTCTTTTAAATTAATACAAAAAAAATCTAAAGCAATTGATAAATAGAGCATTGTTCATGTATTGCCAAAGCAGTAAATAGTTGCATCAGAAGTCTAAATGGGGTTGTATTTATATTTTAGTCTTCAAAAGAGCGGTTTCGCGGGCAGGATTTGAAGCTGATGTGTGCCGACAGTGAGCAGAGTCGAACGTGCTGGATAACGGCCTTCAGGTTGTTTAAGGTACATCAACACATGCAAAAAACAAGTCAGAACTGACCCATCTGACACCTGTAAAGACAAATAATATCTGATAGTGTTTGTTTGCATTTTAGCATGGGACACAACTTCAGCAAAACTACCAGCTCTCCCAGTCCAGACTTCACAAACCATCCAAACCAGACTCCAAGGTATAGCAAAATGTCTTTCACTTTAAGAAGCCTGATATTTTCTGATCTTAGTCTTCATGTAGTTAAGTATATGTCTGTGAATCTAAAAGATCAGCTCTGAGTTTTCTAAAGCTTTTCTTGCCCTCCAAAAAAAGAAATTATTCTAAACTACATGTAATGATTCATCAATAAATTTAGTCAAATTAAAAAAAAAATATCATAACTATTATGACCTTCTAACACTGTAGTTGTAGCCAAGACTAGATACGTTTGGTTTGTGTTGTTGGCATGTCGGGAAGATGCTTTTTTTTGTGTGCTGTGAAAGCAAACTGACTTCCAATTCGTACAGAGTAAAGCCGACTGAGCAATCAGAGCAGAGTAGAGATCCATCGGGCAAATGAGAGTAGAGCCATCTAATTAATGAAAGCAGAGAAGAGTAGATTAGAATAGAGACATCTGACCAACCACACTAGAGTAGACCCATCTGACCAATTAGAGCAGAACCATGTGACTAATCAGAGCAGAGTAAATCCATCTAATCAATAAGAGTAAAGTAGAGCCTGACCAATCTGACCTGAGTAGAACCATTAGAACAGAAGAACAATCTGGCCATTTAGAGCAGCTTGGAGCCACCTGGCCAATCACAGCAGAGTAGACCAATCGTTTGACCAATCAGAGCATAGTAGAGCCATCTGACCAATCCGAGGGAAGTAGAATCATCTGGCCAATCAGAGCAAAGTAAAATCTTCTGTCCAATCAGAGCAGAGTAGAACCATCTGAACAGAGTCGAATCATCTGGCCAATCAGAATAGCTTAGAGCCACCTGGCCAATCAAAGCAGAGTAGAGCCATCTGACCAATCAAAGCAGAGCAGAGTAGAACCATCTGAACAGAGTAGAATCATCTGGCCAATCAGAGCAGCTTAGAGCCACCTGGACAATCAAAGCAAAGTAGACCCATCTGACCAATCAGACCAGAGTAAATTCATCTGACTAATTAGAGCAGAGTAGAGATCCATCTTACCAGTGAGAACCGAAAAGAGCCATCTGACCAATCAGAACAGAGTACAGCCATCAGAGCAGAGTAGAATCATTTGGCCAATCAGAGCAGATTAGAACCATCTGGCCAACGAGAGTAGAGCGGAATAGAGCCATTTGACCAATCAGAGCATAGTAGAGCCATCAGAGCAGAGTAGAATAATCTGGCCAACCAGAACAGCTTATAGCCACCTGGCCAATCACAGTAGAGTCGACCCATCTGGCTAATCAGAGCAGAGTAGAATCATCTGGCCAATCAGAGCAGAGTAAAACCATCTGACCAGTCAGAGCAAAGTAGAGCCATCTGGCCAATGGGAGTCGAATAGAGCCATCTCATAAATCAGAGCAGAGTAGAACCATCAAAACAGAGTTAAACCATCTGGCCAATCGAAACAGCTTAGGGCCACCTGGCCAATCACAGCAGAGTAGACTAATCACAGTGAAGTAGAGCCATCTGACCAATCAGAGCAGAGTAAATTCATCTGGCCAATCAGAGCCGAGTAGAATCATCTGGCCAATCAGAGCAGAGTAAAACCATCTGACCAATCAGAGTAGAGAAGAACCATTGGAACGATACAATACAACCCTCTGGCCAATCAGAAGAGCTTAGAGCCACCTGGTCAATCACCGTAGAGTCCACCCATCTGGCTAATCAGAGCAGAGTAGAATAATCTGGCCAATCAGAGCAGATTAGAGCCATCTAGCCAACGAGAGTAGAGCAGAGCCATCTAACAAATCAGAGTAGAACCATCAAAACAGAGTAAAACCATGCGGCCAATCGGAACAGCTTAGGGCCACCTGGCCAATCACTGAAGAGTAGACCAATCAGAGCAGAGTAGAGCCATCTGACCAATCAGAGCAGAGTAGAGCCATCGGACCAATCAGAGCAGAGTAGGCTCTGGATAAGGCGGGGTTTATATCGTCCAGATCCTTGAAGCAGCTCTTTCAGACACTAAGGCTGCGTCCGAAACCGCATACTTCCATACTATATAGGACGCTAAAATCAGTATGCGAGCCGAGTAGTATGTCCGAATTCATAGAATTCGAAAATCAGTATGCGAGAAGTTCCCGGATGACTTACTACTTCTGGCGAGATTCTGAAGTGCGCATCCAATGCATGCTGCGCTATCCCATGATGCCCCGCGAGCGAGTTCATGAATGAGAGTAAAGCGACGCAACTGACGCAGGTAGGTCACGTGACTATGACAAAATGGCGGATGTAATACGTCCGAATTCCATTCATACTTTTTTCATTCATACTTTATTTAAATTCAAATGCAGTACCTACTAAGTAGTAGGCGGTTTCGGATGCAGCCCAAGAGAAAAGAGCTGGTGCTGAAAAAAGTCTTGTGAAAATTAAAGTGTTTTTTTTTTTGTCCTTGCGTTGATGTAAACCTGTTGTTCTAGACTTCTTAACGAACATTGAAAATAGCACAACAGGGGCGCTTTAAAAGCAGCTCATCATGCTCTGCTCTGATTTCACATATTAGCTTTGCATGAGGAAGAGCGCAGAAGTGTAAGTTACTCACTGGTCTTCCTCATGCATCAGTTCACAGACCGGGACGAGTCGATGGTGGCCATGGATTTTTCAGGGAAGAGCGGCGGCCGAGTGATTCAGAACCCACACGAGGCCCACAATGCAGAGCAGGAGGAAGGACACAGCTGGAGGGTGTGTATGTGAACGCGTCTGTGCTCAGGGGAAAATATCAGCTGCATTTTTCAACAGAATTCAGGCGGCACTGCTGAGAACGCCTGCTATACTGTCAAGTTCAGCTCAAAGCATTTATTATGCATTTATGCACCTTATGCAGTGTTTGTTTGGATAAAAAAAATTGTCTACGTACATTACAAGTATTTCAAGTACAAAGTGACATTTTCAAGGATGCATTATTTGAGTTTGTTTGTCAGATTTTGGTAAAACAGAATGAAATGTATATTATATAAAACATGTAAATGCAAATAAATGTAGTTAGATGTAAATTTGTAAATTAAAAAAAGGTTACACAATAATATTAATAATTCTGAAATAAAGTTTTAAATATTTTTTTAATTTAGTTTTATTAAAAAAAGTAAATTAGGTTTATGCAAGTTTGAAAAAGTAAATAAAAATGTACTTGCATACACTCACCGAGCCGGCCACTTTATTAGGTACACCTTACTAGTAGCAGGTTGGACCCCCTTTTACCTTCAAAACTGCCTTAATTCTTTGTGGCATAGATTCAACAAGGTACTGGAAATATTTCTCAACGATTTTGCTCCATATTGACATGATAACATCACGCAGAATTCTCTGCTGCACATTTATAATGTGCTCCCGTTCCACCACATCCCCAAAAAGCTCTATTGGATTGAGTTATGGTGACTGTGGAGGCCATTTGAGTACAGTGAACTCCTTGTTATGTTCAGGAAATCGGTCTGAGATGGTTCACACTTTATGACATGGTGCGTTATCCTGCTGGAAGTAGCCATCAGAAGATGAGTACACTGTGGTCATAAAGGGATGGACATGGTCAGCAACAATACTCAGGTGGACTGGTGTTGACATGATGCTCAATTGGTACTAACAGGCCCAAAGTGTGCCAAGAAAATATCCCCCACACCATTACACCACCACCACCAGCCTGAACAGTTGATACAAGGCAGGATGGATCCATGCTTTCATGTTGTTGACATTCTCTGTAAACCCTAGAGATGGTTGTGCATGAAAATCCCAGTAGATCAGCAGTTTCTGAAATACTCAGACCAGCCCGTCTGGCACCAACAACCATGCCACATTCAAAGTCACTTAAATCACCTTTCTTCCCCTACTGATGCTCGGTTTAAGCTGTAGTAGATCGTCTTGACCATGTCTACATGCCTAAATGCATTGAGTTGCTGCCATGTGATTGGCTGATTAGAAATTTTAGTTAACCAGCAGTTAGACATGCGTACCTAATAAAGTGGCCGATGCGTGTATATGCGTGTGTGTATTTTAGAATAATGAATATATTTATTTTGCATCTTTATTTATTGTTATTTCTGTCTATTCAAACTATATTTGAAATAAAATATTTATTTTTGAAATTAGTTTATTAATAAATTATAAAAACTTCAAAAGAAAATTCAATGGGCTTGTTTTAATTGACAAGGCTTCGACTACAACAAGATTAGACCATATAGTTTATTTAGTTTAATAAAAATGTTTATATTTTAGTAATTAAATTTTTTGTTATTTGTTTTTTAATCATTTTAATGATCAATTTTAGGAAAAAATCATTACATATGTGCATCTTGAGACAAAACAAAGATACTGCTGTATTTTAAGATCAGTCAGTGCAAGTTAAATAAAAAAACTTTATTTTTCGTCTGTGAAACTGAGGAAAATCTATTGATTGATTTCTCTAATGTTTTATTTTTTTGTATTTTAGAAAAGAGAAGCTTTGCGTCACAGTTTACCCCCCAACAGCCACGGCTCACAGCTGCCCGGTGAGTTTCTCATTTCAGCATTAATAAATCATAATGGTGATGAACAGATCTCTCTGAATACTGCAATGTTTCTGCACAGCGGTTCACCGGGTCCAGCCATGGTTTCATGGGGGCGTGTCTCGAACTAAAGCTGAAAGGCTATTGGAGGAGCAGGGAGGAGTGGACGGGTCAGAATCAGCTTACGAATTATTTTGCTTATCGTTCATGTTTGCGCTGTAAACTAGTGTTTATATACAGCTGAAGTCAAAATTATTCACCCTCCTGTGAATTTTTGATTTAAGTGTTTCCCGAATGATGTTTAACAGAGGAAGGAATTTTTCACAGTATTTCCAATATTATTTTTTCTTCTGGAGAAAGTCTTATTTGCTTTATTTAGTCTAGAATAAAAGAAGTTTTTAAATTAAATTAAGTCAAAATTAATAGTTATGCTGTTATATCGGTTATACAATGACTTGCCTAATTATCCTAACTTGCCTAATTAACCTAGTTAAGCTTTTAAATGTCACTTTAAGCTGTATAGAAGTGTCTAGTCAAATATTGTTTACTGTCATCATGGCAAAGATAAAAAAGAAATCAGTTATTAGAAATGAGTTATTAAAACTATTATGATTAGAAATTTGTTGAAAACATCTTTTGGTTAAACAGAAATTGGGAAAAAATATAAAGGAGGGTTGATCATTCAAAAGAGTTGAACTATCTATTCAATGGGCTTGTTCTAATTGACCGGATGTATTTAATTCTGACTTCCGACTTCAACTGTGGTTTTGTCTTTTCTGGCAAACAGGATGTATTTGATTCGTGACAGTCAGCTTCACGTGCAGTGCTTTGTGCTTTCACTGTGGCATGAACTCAAGACAAAACACTACCTCATCATTCCTGTAAGTCTTTATTCCTCACTGTGAATCAGCTTCTTTTTAATCAAGAATTAAACTCACTATTAAAACACTATTCATTTAATTGTATTAAATCTGTAGTGCTCAGCATATACGAGTACAACACTCACAAATCTCTCTTTTAAATTCATCTTTTTAATAGGAAGCTATACAGTATTATATTCGTGCATATACATTAGATTAGTCAGTACTGAAGCCAAATCTGGAGCTTATGTAGGATAATAACTTAAAATAATGCTTAAACTAGAACACTCAAAGTTATATGTTAAAGAAAAATATTAAATACAAATTTTAAAAAGAGGAAAAAATCAAGAAAAACAAAAATGCAGTTTGTTTTTCTTTTTGCATTATTTTGCTTGAGTTGAATTGTATTATCCTTTAATTTCTAAATATGTTTAGTGACTAAAATATTATTTTAACAAATATATCTGTTTAATAAATCCGTTTTGTTTAAATGCACCAAAATACGTTGCCTATTTTGACAGAAGTGGACACAAATATTCATTTTCAAAATAGGGTGTACTCAATTATGCTGAGCACTGTATATAAAAAGTAGTATATTTAATATAGTACAATCTAAAATTATTTAATAAATGAAAGATTAATTGCATTGCATTAATTTAGTTGCAAATATGATATAAGTAAAATCTGCACATTTAATTATATACATATACAAGTGTATATGTATTTTTATATTGCAAATATTTAATTTACAGGACTCAGCATGAGTACACCCCTCACAAATCTCTCATTTAGATTTGTATTTTCTATAGGAAGCTATACAATATTATATTTGTAAATATACATTAGATTAGCCAGTGCTGAACCCAAATCTAGAGCTTGCCTAACAACATAATTTACGATAACGGTTCAAAACCTCGTTGCCAAAATTAATATTTTAGCCAGAAATATTACATAATTTTTTTTTAAATGAGCAAAAAACATGAAAAACAAAACAAATATATAGTTTTGTTGGAAGTTTGTAGTTTGTAATTTTTGTTTTGCAATATTTAGCTTGAATTTAATTGTATTATTTTTCTATTCTAAATATTTTTGGTGACTAAAATATTATTTTAATAAATTGTTTAATAAATCTGTTTTGTTTAAATGCACCAAAATACGTTACCTATATTCACTGAAAAATGGGGTGCACTCAATTATGCTGAGCACTGTATATAAAAGTAGTATATTTAATATAATAGCTGAAAGATTAATTGCATTGCATGAGTTTAGTTGCAAACATGATATAAATAAAATCTGCACATTTAATTATTTACATATACAAATTTATAATTATTTTTATTTTGCAAATATTTAATATATACATATGCAGTGCTCAGCGTATAAGAGTACAGCCCCCACAGATTTCTTGTTTAAATTAATATTTTTAATAGGCTTGGCAATGCAAGGCAAGACAAGTTTATTTACATAGCACATTTCATACACAGTGGCAATTCAAAGTGCTTTACATAATCAGGAATAAAAGAGACAAGTGTAAATAAAAAGATGAACAGATGAAAACAGCGTAAAGACAGTTTTTTTTTCTGTATTCCAAAACATCGGTGTATCATTTTTTTTTTTCTTTTACTCTGAGACTTCCCCATTCTGGTAATCAACCCAACCTCCTTATTCGGTACCAATTAATCAGTTGGGCGTCTCTAACAGATTTGTTAGACTAATATATTTGAATATATATGTATATTTCACCTATATTTGAAAAGTTAAGCTTTACAGCTCTAATTATGTGCCCCCGAATTTCAACTTTTTTCTGGAAGTAAATCGCACCTCCTCCCGTAAGTAGATCGCTTTAGTTAGCCAAACGTAAAAAAGGTCTTGATCTTAGGCAGACTCCAAATCTGGAGTTTATCTAGCAAAATAACTTACGATAACGGTCCAAAAATTACTAGCCAAAATGTTTATTTTAGGTAAAAATATTAAATAAAAAAAATTAAATGAGCAAAAATCAAGAAAAACAAAACAGTTAGAAAATTTTGTTGGAAATTTTGTTTGAATTTAAATGTATTATATTTTTATTCTAAATATGGTGACTAAAATAGTATTTAATTAAATATATGTTTAACAAATCTGTTTTGTTTAAATGCACTAAAATGTATGACCTATATTCACTGAGAAATGGATGCAAATACTCATTTTCAAAATGAGGTTTACTCGTCAGCGCAATAGCCTAGTAGTTAGCACTCCAACATTTGGTGCAGTAGCATGTCGAGCGTCCCGAGTTCGAATCCTGGCTCGAGGACATTTCTCTACCCTACCATCTCCCCTCCCCCCCCCCCCCCCCTCTCTCCAACTGTCCAACTTCGCTTCCTGTCTCAATACTGTCCTATCTAAAAAAGCAGAAAATAAATCTAAAAAAAATAAAAATAAAATGAGTAAATGTACTCAATTATGCTCATTTATACACATACGCACACATATTTAATGAATATTTTATTTTTGCAAATGCATACTCATTTATTTACTTTGAGTCATGTTCATCCTGATCTGTTCTTCTTGTGTGTGCTCGTGTAGTTGGAGAAGGGCGACAGGCAGTACTTCACTATGGATGATGGAGTCACACTGTTCTCAGACCTGCTGCAGTTGGTGGAGTTTCACCAGATCAACCGCGGTACTTTACCCGTGTGTCTCAAGCACCCCTGCACATGCATAGCTCTCTGAACATTCACCTCAAAGCCTGAACCTAAATGACCAAGCACCTTTACAGCTTTCAGTTTACTCCCGCCGGATGTCAGGACATTCACGCTAAAGCAAAAACAAGTTATATTTATATTAGATGTAGTAATCATGAGCTCTAGCAGAGTTCAGTCTCCAGTCCTGCTTATAAAATTGAAATGACATTTGGTCACTTCAGTCGTTCTGTCTGGATCACAGAAGGATAATCTGAAGGAAACTTCCTACTGTTTTTTTATTCACCACTAGGAGGCGCAATCACTCTATGCATAGCTTTATATGCAGAACCCTCCATTTAGCAAATATGAGGCATTCAGGGATATAAATATATAAAGTTGAAGTCAAAATTATTCGCCCTCCTGTGAATTTTTTATATTTTCCAAATGATATTTAACAGAGAATGAATTTTTCACAGTATATAATATAATACAATATTATGTATTATGATTTTTTTTTCTGGAGAAAGTTTTATTTCTTTTATTTCGGCAAGAATAAAAGCAAAAACCATTTTAATGTCAATATTATTAGCCGCCTTAAGCAATATTTTTTCGATTGTCTAAAGAACAAACCATCATTATATACACTCACCGGCCACTTTATTAGGTACACTTGTCCAACTGCTCTTTAATGCAATTTTCTAACCAGCCAATCACAGGGCAGCAACTCAGTGCATTTAGGCATGTAGACATGGTCAAAACGATCTGCTGCAGTTCAAACCAAGCATCAGAATGGGGAAGAAAGGGGATTTAAGTGACTTTGAACGTGGCATGGTTGTTGGTGCCACACGGGCTGTCTGAGTATTTCAGAAACTGCTGATCTACTGGGATTTTCATGCACAACCATCTCTAGGGTTTACAGAGAATGGTCTTAAAAAGAGAACATGTCCAGTGAGCGGCAGTTCTGTGGGTGCAAATGCCTTGTTGATGGCAGAGGTCAGAGGAGAATGGCCAGACTGGCTCCAGCTGACAGAAAAGCAACAGTAACTCAAATAAGCACTCGTTACAACCGAGGTCTGCAGAAGAGCATCTCTGAACACACAACACGTCCAACCTTGAGGCAGATGGGCTACAGCAGCAGAAGACCACACCGGGTGCCACTCCTGCAGCTAAGAACAGGAAACTGAGGCTACAATTTACACAGGCTCACCAAAACTGGACAATAGAAGACTGGAGAAATGTCGCCTGGTCTGATGAGTCTCCATTTCTGCTGCAACATTCAGATGGTACGGTCAGAATTTGCTGTCAATAACATGAAAGCATGGATCCATCCTGCCTTGTATCAATAGTTCAGGCTGGTGGTGGTGGTGTAATGGTGTGGGGGATATTTTCTTGGCACACTTTGGGTCCATTAGTACAAATTAAGCATCGTGTCAACGCCACAGCCTACCTGAGTATTGTTGCTGATCATGTCCATCCCTTTATGACCACAGTGTACTCATCTTCTGATGGCTACTTACAGCAGGATAACGCACCATGTCATAAAGCGTGAATCATCTCAGGCTGGTTTCTTGAACATGACAATTAGTTCACTGTACTCAAATGGCCTCCACAGTCACCAGAGCTCAATCCAATAGAGCAACTTTAGGATGTGCTGAAACAGGAGGTTGGCATCATGGATGTGCAGTCGACAAATCTGCAGCAACTGCGTGATGCTATCATGTCAATATGGAGCAAAATCTCTGAGGAATATTTCCAGTATCGTGTTTGAATCTATGCCATGAAGGATTAAGGCAGTTCTGAAGGCAAAAGTGGGTCCAACCCGCTACTAGTTAGGTGTACCTAATAAAGTGACCGGTCAGTGTAATGCCTAATTACCTTAACTTGCCTAATTAACCTAGTTAAGGCTTTAAGCTGAATTATAGTGTCTTGAAAAAGATCTAGTCAAATATTATTTACTGTCATCTTGGCAATGATAAAAGAAATCAGTTATTAGAGATGAGTTGTTAAAACTATTATGTTTAGAAATGTGCTGGAAAAATCTTATTTCCGTTAAACAGAAATTGGGGGAAATATATATCCACAGGGGGGCTAATAATTCTGACTTTAACTGTATATTAATGCACTTTCAATGTAGCAGATTGTTATAATTAATGTAGTATTTTTGCTCAACCCTTGTGGGTACTTTTTTTTTATTACATGTTTAAAATATCGGAGGCCAGTTTATGTGTGCTCGATCTTGAATTTTCTATTTGTTTATTATTATATTTTACCTGTAGTTTAATAATAAGCAAAACTCCGTATTGTGTTGTTTTATTAGTTTTAATTGTGTGTGTGTGTGTGTGTGTGTGTGTGTGTGTGTGTGTGTGTGTGTGTGCGTGCGCGCGTGTGTGAGTGTGTGTGTGTGTGAGTGTGTGTGTGTGTGTGTGTGCGTGCTTGTGTGTGCTTGCGTGTGTGTGCGTACTGGTTTAACCCCTGACGTTTTGATGATATTAATGTAGCAGATTGATTATGTTAATTTAGTATAAAATCTTGAAGGCCGGTTTACGTGTGCTCAATCCTCTATTTTCTTTTTGTTTATTATTCTTTCAAAATAATTTCTTAAGATTTTTTTTTTCCTGTAGTTTCATGACAGAAAAAACATTGTAAGCTGTAAATACATTTATGAATTGTTTGTTGTTTTATTAGTTTTTGTTTGTGTGTGTGTGTGTGTGTGTGTGTGTGTGCGCGCGCGCATGTTTGTTCATGTTCAATACCTGATATCTTTGACACTGTGGCCACCATTGGGGTTAATAAATTATAAAAAGTTATTAAGAACTGATTTTTTTGTGCGTGCGTGCGTGTGTGTGTGTTTCAGCATGCTTCAGTTGATGTGACATCATCAAAACATCAGTTGCCAGTCTCCCTTGTGTTGTTGCCATGGATATTATATGTGTGTGTGTGTGTGTGTGTGTATATACACATGTGCTTATTCAATGAGATGGTAATATATTTCGAGGTAGATGGGGGTTCACCTTATTGTAGCTGTTGATTCCCACATTACTGCGGTAAATAAAGGGGACATTGACCAATTGTCAGTCAATGAAGGCCAAATTATTCATCCTAACAATATTAAATATCAATACAGTGTGAACATCAACTGCAGAGTGTGAGGTGTCATTATTAGGAAATCAGGGGTTATTTCAGCTGAGTAACAATAGAATATAATCAGAGAATAGAATGATTGAATTATTTCATACCATAATCCTATTAAATAAATAATATAGGTAATATAAATAATAAACATATTTAATTTATATTATTGACATTAGTAAAAGGATATAATAGTTTAAATTGTAATATATTTATAGTTAATGTTTATTAAATAGATTTATTGATAAGTTTATTATTATATTTTTGCATATTATATTCTATAATTTATTTTAATAATAATTTACTTAATAAATCCAAACAAAGCTTTAATTTTCAGATATGTGTCCATGTATAAAATCCAGTATTTACTGTAGTTATAACTTGTTATTTTGTAAATGTGTGTTCTTTGTCTTTATCTATAGCTCAGCGACAGCAGACACTCAGCCGGCCACTCACCTCTCTCACTAATTCATGAGCTATCATTTATTTAAGATTCCACAACATCCCCAAACTTACATGTACCACATATACACACATGAACACACACTTACACCACATACACACACACACATGAACACACACTTATACCACACACACACACATGAACACACACTTATACCACATACACACACACACACACACACACACACACATGAACACACACTTATACCACATACACACACATGAACACACACTTATACCACACACACACACATGAACACACACTTATACCACACACAAACATGAACACACACTTATACCACATACACACACGAACACACACTTAAACAACACACACACACAAAAACACACATGAACACACACTTATACCACATACACACACATGAATACACACTCCTACCACATACACACATGAACGCACACTCCTACCACATACACACATGAACACACACACTTATACCACATACACACACAAACACACACTCCTACCACATACACACACATGAACACACACTTATACCACATACACACACATGAACACACACTTATACCACATACACACACATGAACACACACTTATACCACATACACACATGAACACACACTCCTACCACATACAGTACACACACATGAACACACACTTATACCACATACACACACATGAACACACACGTATACCACATACACACACATGAACACACACTTATACCACATACACACACATGAACACACTTATACCACATACACACACATGAACACACACTTATACCACATACACACACATGAACACACACTTATACCACATACACACACATGAACACACACTCCTACCACATACACACACATGAACACGCACTTAAACCACAAACACACATATAAAAACACACTTATACCACATACACACACATGAACACACTTATATCACATACACACACAAGAACACACACTGATACCACATACACACACAAGAACACACACTGATACCACATACACACACATGAACACACACTTATACCACATACACACACTTATACCACATACACACACATGAACACACACTCCTACCACATACACACACGTGAACACACACTTGTACCACATAAACCCACTTATACCACAAACACACACATGAACAACACTCACTTTAACCACATAAACAAACACTTGTGCCACATATACACAGACAAGACCACATCCTTGAACCACATGCACATGTGAACACACAAACACACTCATCTCTCTCACACACCCTGAGAGTGTACCTATGTTGTGTTTGTGAGGTGAAGCTGAATCTAGGCCACAGACAGGGGAAAGAAGGCTGCTGTGAGCTTCAGATACTTCAGGACGATCCAGAGTTTGATTCATTGTTCAAATTAAAGGGGGCACGGCATGAAAATCCACCTTTTTTCGTTTGTTTAGGGGTGACATTTGATTCCGATTTTAAATTTAAAAGTCAGATTATATTAGTGGTTGTATCTAGCTTTTTCCAATGGGCTATATGCACACACACTTTTAGTTTTCAGCCAGGCAGCCTAAGGGCTTCCGGTGAACTGTGTTTTCATTATAAAATTGTCAGGTTTAAGATCTGATTTCTTTAAAAATCAGCGATCTTCAGTGCCAGTTAGATATACGTAATAAAGTAGTTATCAGACCAAACAAAAAGCACTGCATAAAATTCGATTAATCCGCCGCCATGTCTTTAAAATATGACAGTTTAATTTAACCCCAGTATTTTCAATGGAATCTATGCGTTAGCCTGCTGCTACTGATAGCGCTAGCGGTTACAACGATCTTTCATCTCGTTTTATGCTTAAACAACTAAATGAATGCTTAAGTCTATTAAACTGAATGCATTGTAATTGCATTGCAACATCGATGCTGTAAAAACGACCTTGTGAAATTGAAAATAGTCACAGCTTTCACCGGAAGTTCACTTTAAAACTCTAGCTGTGCATAGAGCCCATTAAGGCATCTAGCTGAAGCAACACACTACCTGACAAAAGTCTTGTCGCCTATCCAAGTTTTAGGAACAACAAATAATAACTTGACTACTAGTTGATCATTTGTTATCAGAAGTGGCTCATATGAAAGGCAAATGCCTCTAGATTGAGCTTATTTTAGCTAATTAAAATATGATAATGGCTTGATTTTTTATGATTTCATTAGGACAGTAAAGTCTGACTTTGCTTAGACTAAAGTCTCGTCAATTAACAGAAACAATGTCCAGTATAGAATATAAAGTCATGCTGCAGTGGAGACAGAATAAATATTGTGTCTGACTCCATCATGAGCTTGGAGGACTGCATCCATACATCTCTGCAATGACTCAAATCACTTACTGTATTAATAAAGTCATCTGGAATGACAAAGAAAGTGTTCCTGCAGGACTCCCAGAGTTCATCAAGAGTCTTTGGATTCGTCTTTAACGCCTCCTCCATCTGACCCGAGACATGCTCAATAATGTTCATATCTGGCCACTGGGATGGCCAATCCTGGAGCACCTTGACCTTCTTTGCTTTCAGGAGCTTTGATGTGGAGGCTGAAGTATGAGAAGGAGCGCTATCCTGCTGAAGAATTTGCCCTCTCCTGTGGTTTGTAATGTAATGGGCAGCACAAATGTCTTGATACCTCAGGCTGTCGATGTTGCCATTCACTCTGCAGATCTCTCGCGCGCCCTGAATGTAACCCCAAACCATGATGTTTCCTTCACCAAACTTGACTGATTTCTATGTGAATCTTGGGTCTACGCAGGTTCCAGTAGGTCTTCTGCAGTATTTGTGATAATTGGGATGCAGCTCAACAGATGATCCAACAGAAAAATCGACCTTCTGCCACTTTTCCAAATGATCAACCAGAAGTCAAGTTATTACTTGCTGCTCTTACAACTGGGATAGACAAGACTTTTGTCAGGTAGTGTAGAAGTTTAGTCTAGAAGTTTCTCTTCCTTTGCATCATTGTCTTGAACAATTATTCATTCATTTTCTTTTCAGCTTAGTCCCATTATTAATCAAGGGTCGCCACAGCGGAATGAGCCACCAACTTATTCAACATATGTTTTATGCAGCGGATGCCCTTCCAGCTGCAACCCATCACTGGAAAACACCCATTCACTCTCATTCACACACATACACTACAGCCAATTTAGGTTACCCAATTCACTTATAGCGCATGTTTTTGGACTGTGGGGGAAACCAGAGCACCCGGAGGAAACCGACGCGAACACAGGTAGAACATGCAAAGTCCACACTGACCCGAACAAGCGACCTTTAGGCTACCCACTGCGCCACCGCAACGCCATGTCTTGAACATGTTAAGTTTAATTCACTAATGCTCATTTCTGACATGTTAGCTATGAGATTCACATGTTTAGTTTTTTCTTGAGCAAGCGACTAAAGTCTCCGCCCCTTTCTGAAAAGCAGCAGCTCATTTGCATTTAAAGGGATATCCACAAACATGTGTTTTTACATGCGAATTGGGGAAAGTGTGACTAGCTATAATAAATGATTTGTGACATAATTTGGGATGAAACACACACATACAAATTCTTGGGACAATATAGATTTATTTCACATCTTATGAAAGGAGATGATTACTACTTTTTTAATGTCCAAATGAATGTAAGCATGAACTGAAGTGAGTTTGTCCTCAACTCTGATCTAAAGTGTGCTTTTTTTTAAGGATGATGAAACTCATGAGAGCTTGATATGAAACGCAGGAGAGCTTGTCGTTCTCCTGAAGCTCAGGTAACGCTGGACTCTGAGAGTTTAGTGTGACCGAAGAGGATTGGATTTCAGCTTGTGTTACGCTTCGTCTGTTTTGTCCAATGTGCTGTTGGTTGAATTATATCTGATAACCTGCAGAAAGACAGCAAAATACAGATTACTGCATTACACTTAAAGCAGTTTCTGTTTTTACTAATAAAAGAGCATCTTAATTTGCTTCTACATTTAAATTTGAATTTATGCTCATTTATTTATGAGCAAATTAATATTTCACATGCAGATTTTACACCGATGCTAAATAAAATATAACTTAACATTAATACTATGATTTTGTTTCAGTTATATTATTATACAGTTTTGCTTATAAATATTTCACATTTTACTTGAATGATAATTAAATTCTATATGTATTTAGCTCAAATAAATATGTTTTGCATGACGTATTTAATATTTTATTTTTTAAAACTGCATTATTTTTTAGATATTCACTTTTAAAAATGTTTTGTATTGATACACTTTTGATTAAATTATCAATAAGAAATTATTAAAATATACTAACAACATTTATTTTTAAATATTATGCATATAGTTTCAAATTATTTGAAACAATTTATTTGCTATTAAGATTTATTTATTTATTTATTTATTCATTTTCTTGTCGGCTTAGTCCTTTTATTATTCCGGGGTCGCCACAGCGGAATGAACCGCCAACTTATCCAGCAAGTTTTTTACGCGGCGAATGCCCTTCCAGTCGCAACCCATCTCTGGGAAACATTCACACACACATTAACACACACACTCATACACTACGGACAATTTTGCCTACCCAATTCTTCTGTATCTCATGTCTTTGGACTGGGGGAAACCCGCGTGAACACAGGGAGAACATGCAAACTCCACACAGAAACGCCAACTGAGCCGAGGCTCGAACCAGCGACCCAGCGACCTTCTTGCTGTGAGGCGACAGCACTACCTACTGCGCCACTGCTTCGCCCCCAGATTTTTTATTAGATCATTTTAGCATTTGAGGATTTATTTATTTTAATTAATTAATTTAATTGGTCATTAAAGGAGAAATTACTGACTAGCCAACCATTCTGAGAAAATGTCAATCCTTCAATCAAAGGGACAAGCATCTTGGTGTTATTTTGGAGTCAGACCCGAGTGTTTCAATAGCCATATCAAAGCAGTTAGTAAATCAGCATACTATTCATTTATTTCTTTTCTTTTCAGCTTAGCCTTCATTATTCTGGGGTCGCCACAGCGGAACAAACTTAGCCAGCCTATGTTTTACGCAGCGGATGCCCTTCCAGCTGCAATGATCACTGGGAAACACCCATACACTCTCATTCAAAGACATGCACTAAAGACAATTTAGCTTACCCAATTCACCTATAGCGCATGTGTTTGGACTGTGAGAAAAACCGGAGCATGCAACCCACGCCCTACATGGGGAGAAGGTGCAAACTCCACACAGAAATGCCAACTGACCCAGCTGAGACTCGAACAAGCGACCTTCTTGATGAGAGGCGACAATGCTATCCACTGTTACCCTGTGAAGCCTGAACTGGCTATACTATAATCTTTAAAACATTGCAAGAATTAGCCAGATGCTTTGTTTTCAGTGAGGACTTAGAGAAACTTGTTCATGCTTTTATCAGCAGCAGGGTGGATTACTGTAACTGCCTCCTCACTGGTCTTCCCAAAAAGACAGACTGACAGTTGCAGCTCATCCAGAATGCTGCAACCAGGATTCTGACCAGAACCAGAAAGTCAGAGCACATTACACCTGTCCTCATGTCTTTACACTGGCTCCTAGTTACATTCAGATTATATTTTAAAGTATTACTTGTCTATAAATCACTAAATAGCCTCAATACATTATAGATATGCTCGCTGAATACAAACCCAACAGATCACTCAAATCTTTAGGATTACATAAACTAGAAGTTCCAAGAGTTCAGTCAAAGCAGGGTGAATCAGCTTTCAGCTACTAACAGCGCACCTCGCTGCTGGAATCAGCGTCCAGAAATGATCAGATGTGCTCCAACATTAGGCACATTCAAATAGAGACTGAAAACGCATGTGTTTAGCTGTGCATTTACTGATTGAGCACTGTGCTACGTCCCACAGATCACACTACTGTATTTATCTTTTTTTTCATTTCTTTAAAAGCCATTTAACACATTTTAATCAGTTTTTTATGATTTTTTAGTACTTTTAATCATGTTTATTTTCTTGTGTCTTTTATTGTTGTATATGTAAAGCACTTTGAGTTACCATTTTGTATGCCTTGCCTGCCTTATATGTTTGAAACTACATTGTTTTGCTTTATATTTGATTTTTTTTGTCATTTTATATTTGCTATTAAAGGAGAAACCACTGATTAACCAACCGTTTTGAAAAAACATAATTTAATCAATCAATAAAATTTAATTTATAGCACTGCAAAAAGACTGAAAGTGGAAAAAAATAGTTTATGAATCTTATGTAATAATAATTAGTCTATCTACATTACTTAAAACAATATATATATTATATAAATAATTATTTTGTATGCAGAGTTAATACATTAACCATGAATCATCAATTACCCAGATTATAAGGTATTTTAAAAATAATATTAAATATATTTAGCAATATTTTGTTGTAGTATTAGCAATATGTAACTGATTCATATATTTTTAAATTCACATTTTTATATATTATTGTGTAATATGTAATTTCTAAAAATACATTGCATATAAATTTTAATCTAAATATTTCATTCAGTTAAATAATACCGTACAATAATAGTTAATAATGTCAATGCTTTTTATATAATCCTTCTTTCATTTCGTCTCTAATGCCTCATTTTTCTGCAGCTGTACAAGCAAATGAGCCTCTATAGTTCATGTAGTGCTGCCATCCTGCAATTACCCCTCGTTTTTCCCCTCTTCATCCATCAAATCCCCCCTCCCCCCTACTTTCTCGCGATGGTTCAGTCCATGAACCTGCCCAGCCCGTGTGGTTCACTGTATCTTTAAGAGGCGGAGGGGGTTATAAGAATATCAGATGAGCTCGGTTTGTGCCATGCGGACCTGCGCGCACACACACGCACTCACTCACCACGCTGAAAGCTGGTGCACACGATTCCCACTGAAGAAGACACGGATGTGAGAGATCAGAATGGGTGTAACTGGAGAAATGAAGGAGGACGAGGCTGCGTAAGAGACACACTTGGCGGACCGAGGTGAGGACGGTCGACAGCCGCCTCAGCAGGTATGTGGTGCTGCATCACTGTTATCCTCCAGGGCTCAAAATCCACCGTATATATATATCACCGTCAGACACATTTACGACTGCAGAATCCACCGCCTAGTTCGTTAACAAACCTGCTTTCAAACTGACGGAGATTTGCTTCAGCGCGCGGTTTCTTAACGCCAGTATTTATCAATCAATATTAATGAGGCACTTTCTGTTCTGGTGTTGTGACAGACCGACAGAGAGACAGACAGACAATCTGCTGTGGATTATAATGGACTCGAGCTCTATGAACTCCTCTAAGTGAGTGTGTGAGTGAATGCTGAGGACTGATGGGATGTGGCGACTGTCTCTCCATCATTTCACAGACTGCAGAGAGAGAGAGAGAGAGAGAGAGAGAGAGAGAGAGTGTGTGTGTGTGTGTATGAGAGAGAGAGAATCAGTTTGTGTGCAGTAGTTTGATTTAAGAGGTCAACATGAAGATATCAGATATGTGAGAGTAGATATTGTGGAAGGATAGACTACTGGTGGATAGGCAAATGAAATGAGATAGATAGATAGATAGATAGATAGATAGATGGATAAGTGTTTCTCAAGCCTATTCTTATATACCTCTTCCTTTTTAAACACACCTGAATCGACCCATCAAAACATTAGCAGAGATTCTAAACCTCAAACGAATGTGTCAGTTAAGGGAGACATCCAAAATATATTGGTGTGTCTTCAGGAACAAGGTTGGGAGATAGATAGATAGATAGATAGATAGATAGATAGATAGATAGATAGATGGGCGGATGGATATATGATGAATGGATACAATTGATGGATGATTGATTTGATTAATGGGACATGTGAAGGAATAGATGGATGGATGAATGAAATTGGTAGATAAATTGGATGTTGGATGGATGGAATAGCGGATGGATAGATGATGGATTAATGGATGTACCGAGGGAAAGATAATTGGTGGATGGATGGAATGGTAGCAAGATAGATTGAAAGATGGGCAGATCGTTGAGTAGAGGGATAGATGATTGATTGATTGATTGATTTGATTGATTGATTAATTAGTGGAACTGGTGGAGGAATAGATGGATAGATGAATGAAATTGGTGGATCAATTGAATGTTGTATGGATGGAATGGCTAGATGATAGATTAATGGATGAAGAAATGGACGTACAGAGGGATAGATAATTGGTGGACAGATGGAATGGCAGCAGGATGGATAGATAGATAGATAGATAGATAGATAGATAGATAGATAGATAGATAGATAGATAGATAGATAGATAGATAGATAGATTAAAAGAGTTTGAAGATAGATAGATAGATAGATAGATAGATAGATAGATAGATAGATAGATAGATAGATAGATGATGAATGGATACAATTGATGGATGATAGATTGATTAATGGGACAGGTGAAGGAATAGATGGATGGATGAATGAAATGGTAGATAAATGGAATGTTGGATGGATGGAATGGCAGATGGATAGATGACAGATTGATGTATGAATGAATGGATGGACAGAGTGATAGATAACTGTTGGATAGATGGAATGGCAGCAAGAGAGGTAGCTAAATGAATAGGTGAAATGCCAGATAGATAATGCATCCATAAAATGGCAAACCGAATAACAGATGCAATAGATAATCAAGGGTGTAGTTGCAAAATCAAGCTGCCTAAATAACAAGGGACAAGTAATAGAATAGACTTGATGTGTGTTAATGGTGAGGTGTGAAACCGCTGCTGCACCACTAGTGGAAATAAACTGAACTGCAAAAATATTGTTATCGAACAGGTTTTCCATCCTTTGGGGAAAACCAGTCTAATGTTTTGCACATGGGAAACAACTTCACACCTTTTGGATTATCCTGCAGATTCACAATTCCCTATCTGGCCTGTTGACAAGCTGCAAAACGGCTCTGTTTTCAGACGGACAGAGATTCACCTTAACGTGCAGTTTCTTCCTGCTTAATGCTGAAGCTCTGGTATTCATCAATCAGCATTCAAAAGGAACGTTTTGCTCTGGTGTTGAGAAAAAGAGACATGCAGAGAGAGAGATTTGGAGATTTCAGAAGGCTTTTATTACTACAAGAAAACACAAAACCTTTTTCCAACAAACAAGTCGCCCCAAAAAAATAAAACAAGCATTAAAATCCCTCTAGTACAATTAATCAATGACACCAAAGCTAATCAAAAGAGACAGGATCAGTCATAGCTTTAAAATATGGCAAATCCTAGATTTCAATGTTAAAAAAAGACCACTTCTAAATTACTAATCATGTTAGTAAAGAAAGAGAGAAAGAGAGAGAGCTGATGTGGATTGTAATGGACTATAGATCTATAAACCCCTCTAAGTGAGTGTGTGAGCAAATGCTGAGGACTGATGGGATGTGCGACTGTCTCTCCATCATTTCACAGACTGCAGAGAGAGAGAGAGAGAGAAATTTGAGAGGTCAACATGAAGATATCATAGAGATGTAGAGCGGCAGAAGATATTGAGGAAAGCAATGATGGTGGAGGAGGTGGACTAGAGAGCGACTAGAAAGCTGCGGAGAAAGGGCTGGATGGATGAAGAAACACGAGAAGAGCCATCAGTCTGTGATTAATTGGCAAAAATGTCATGTTGCATGAACGCCCACCTCATCATATACTGGCTTTGGTGTGCATTGTGGTCAACACAAACTGCATTGCACATCGATCACTAAAGCAGTTCTGTCTTCAATAAAATCTTTGGATTGGGACAGTATGGAAAAGGCAAATAAAAAAGGAATAGTGATTTCTATATTTACTTTGACTTGTGTTTCATTGCAGACAATACGACAAACATTATTTAATGTGTTCCTGGTGATGTTTATTGTTTTCCCCCCAAAATAAAAACACAAATAAAAAATACATTTTTAAAATAAAAACAAAAACAAATTTAACAAAAATAACAACACTTTATTATTACGTTTTTTTATGTAAAATAAAGCTAAAGTAATAATTGTAAAACAAACAAATAAATAAAATTATTTTTTCCTGGGGGGGGGGGGGGGGTGGGGGGGGGGGGCGCGCCTAATGAAGAGCGGGGCCGAGGGTGTGCCGCGTCGCGGGGGCACTTTTGATCATTTTGGAAGGGCACTTTCTATCCAAGACTAAATAGGGCATGTGCACTGCACAGGTTGAGCCCTATGTGTGCATGTGCCTGCTTTTCTGGCAGAAGTCAGTATCTTTCTTGGTTTATTGTGCTCCCTGAAAACTCAAAATATTTTAACCCTAAAATGAGAGAAACTCTGGGTTTTCTGTTTTAAAATGGCAGGTTTGTTAAACTTGACAAAGCAGGGTAGGTCAAACCTGTTTCTGAAAGAGAGGTAACTTTAACTCAGTTACTGTGGTAACTTACTCTGTGAACCTAACCTGGTCAGGAGCAGGTTTTACTTTCTAAACTCAGTTTCTGTCGGTCTCCGCATTTCTTGCCTTAGCCTTATGTTTCCACCCACCTATTTTAATGCTCATTTTGTATATGAGCATAAAAACGATTGATGGAAACGTCATGATGCACATAACTTTTAAAAATATGCATAAAACACACGCATAACTAAGTAGGATAAACTTTTATTCGATAAGAACAGATGTGCATAAACTATGATGGAAACACTTTTACTGAACAAATTCCAGTATGTGCATTTAAAAAAGGTTTATTTATATGATATTGAAAATGTGTGTGAATGGACAAACCAGCAGGCTGAGCACACTGTTAACCAGCCTAAATAATGTTTTAGTCATTCTGAAATGCCTTTTCAGTATTAATGTATATTATTAATGACCTCCAGAGCGTCTGGAGCGTGTCATGAGCGTCTGTTCTCCACATCTCATAACTTTAAATGTCCCCACGTGTTCATTGTGTGTCAGTATTGTCTTCTAAGGCGCATGTACATTTTATTAAGTAAAGAAAAGATTGACACAGCTTCTTCTATCGTAGTAAATTCTGTTTTTACTGTTGATATTTGGTGCCAGTTAATCAGGAAGTGATGATTTTGTTCTCTTTGACTCGTTGAAAGAGTCAAAATTCGCACATATTCGCACATATCTTTTATGCGTTATTCCAGTTTTGGACGTGAATTTATGTAATATATTTGAATTGAAACATAGCTATTCCCTACATTTTAGTCACACACAGAACAAAGTCACGTACGAGAATGGCTTGTCCTTTTTTCATAAATAATCGGCTTAAATTCACTGACCTTCAACATGTATTGTAACTAGATTAATGGGATTATTATTCTTTCTAAAAACTATTTTTTTGTACTGCTTACATTCTAAATATCATATCAACCTCTATCACTTGATCAATATAAATGGCAGACACACAAGTGCACATTTAAATGTATTAAAACTGATAAACGTGTATAAAAGTTTATAAAAAATTTAAAAATGTCACACCTTACATTACTTATTTTATTTTATATATATATATATATATATATATATATATATATATATATACATACATTTTTATTTATTTTATTTATATATATAAATATAAATTATATATATATATATATAATTTAAAATATTTAAATATTTTTAAACCTATTTTAATAGCTCAATATTATAAGCCCCTTTAAGCAATATATATTTTTGATATATTTTATATATTTTAATAACAGATATATTTTCTGTTATACAATGCCCTGATTACACTAATTAAGCATTTGCATGTAACTTTAAGCTGAATACTAGTATCTTGAAAAAATCTAGTAAAATATTATGTACTGTCATCATAGCAAAGATAAAAGAAATCGGTTATTAGAAATGAGTTATTAAATCTGTTATGTTTAAACTGTGCTTTAAGCATCTTCACTGTAAGAAAAAAACTTTGGCTACAAAAAAAAATCCTGGGATTTTGTCTTTTTGTTTGATTAATAATGTTAAAAACAGACGGCAGCAAGGATTAGGCGCACTGTCACTTTAAGAATAGTGCGGCTCTGATATGGTTTCTCTTTCACGTGTCTTTTGACTCTCAAC